AACATCAAAAGTCGTCACATATGCTGCCACAATTGCCGCCGCCACCGAACAACAATGGTAGTAACCACCTCAATCGACATGCTGCAAGCAATCGTTCTTATCGCACCAAATACGGACAATTCATGATCATCACACCGGCCGTCTCCATTGATCGTGACTACGAGCATGATGAAGCATTCGGCAGTGGCGGCTCTGCTGCAGCCGCCCTAACCAATAATTTCGATTTCGATGAGGATGCCTATTGCAATGACAACAACAGCAATGCCAATGGTAATAATAGCATTGGCAATAACGGCAATATCTTCCGCATGTCACTGTTGCACAATAGCAGCAGCATTGACAGTGGCAACAGCAGTGACAGCTCATTCCGCTCCAACTACAATCCCTATCTGCATCATAGTCGTCAACATTTGTTGCCCAAAACAGCGCCACACTTCTACACATTCTCCTCGTGGCGTTGGTGTACGCTCATATGTGCGGCAATGCGCTGCTTTGGCGGCGGGCACAGTTCGAATGCGCCATACAGCAGCAGTTTTGCGCGTCCACCCTATCAACGTTCGCGCAGTTCCGGCGCACAAACGACCCGTTCCTCGCAGCCGCATCGGTGCTTGCGCTCCTCCTCGTTCACCGCCGAAACGGCATACGAACATTTCTCGGCACCTTTTAAGGCGCGCAAAACGCGCGATCATCTCAACAACATCACATACGAATTGTGACGGTGGCGGCAGCAGCGCGCACGACGACAACAATGTCAATTCGAAATTACACCCATACATGCGTGGGTGTTGGCGGTGGGGAAGGTGGTAATTGCAATTGCATTACGAATTCGAACGATTCGAACGACTGCATTGCAGCTGGCGTTTAGAGCATTTTTTGATCTCCTATTCGTATTTATATTCGATTTGCTGTTCGACGTAAAGACAAAGCCATATGACAACTGTACTACGCTTAACGTCGCGTACACAGTGTCGTCGTATTCCAATTTAAATGTTTATTATTATTATTATTATTACGATTATGATTACATATTATGAGAAAAAGAAAACTATTACACTCTTACATTTACTCCATATTTCTTGTACTTTTAACTTATAGTCGTCGTCGTGTTAAAGCAGAACAAAAACAAAATATATACAAATATATAAATTATATATTAGCATGTAAGCTTTAGGTAGCAACGTTTCGGCAGTATGAAGAAAGAATGAAGAAATCGATTGAAAAAAAAATAAAATAAATAATGAAGAAAAAAGCGAATTGAAACCATAACGGCGCAGCAATGAGATCAAAAGCAGCAAAGAAAATGCGTTACGATTCTCTAAATAAAGAGCAGAAATTATTTGTGAAATTGCACACATACCATACATACATAAAGATGGACGCGGGATATTCAGTCTGAAATCACCACCCATATCAACGTTCTTCACATCTGAACCATTCGGCGGCTTTTCAAATTTAGCTCACAGTTTCTAATATCTGACACTAGAAACTACAACATGAATATCAAATTAGTCTAAAATACTTTTAGTGTGCTGGGTATTTAACTATTGATGCTAAAATGGAAAATTTTTGAAATTTATGATATTTTCTATCTTAATTTAACGTCGGATAATTCTTATTTCCAAAT